ATTCAATCGTATTTGTTACCGCATTTCGTGCATTTATTTCGGTAAAATTCACGATTTGTGTTACAAAATTATCACTGTTTGTATGTTTCCAATTATTACAGATTGTTCGTATTACACGAAGAGTTAGTAACGGTAAAATGTATGAAATTTCATTGAATCGTTCTCCATTACCACGTTTCCTGAGTTTACTTTACTATGCTAAGAAATTCTACTGTTTTATTAAATTATCACGGTTGACACACTTCTCATTGTAGCAATTTTCTCGTATTACACGAAGAATATAAATATACAATATGAATTGGTGTATTGAATCACTCCATATTATCAGGATTCCGTAAATTTATTTGCTAAACTAATAAAGTGTACTGTTATTAAATTATCATGGACGACACGGTTGTAATTGTTATAAATGTTTCGTATTGCACGAGTAATATAAGTAATATGAATTGTTTTATTGAATCGTTTCCTGTTAACACAGTTCATGAATTTATTTTAGTAAATTAATCAATTCTACCGTGTAATTAAATTATGGTTGTAAATGCGTTTGTAATTGCTACAGATTTTTCATATTATACGAAGAATGTAAATATGTAATATTCATGCATTTATCGAGCCGTTTCCTGTTATCACATTTCATGAATTTATTTTTCTGAATTAATAAATTTTTCCGTGTAGTTAATTTATGGTTGATAATGCGTTTGTAATTGCTACGGATATTTCTTATTATACGAAGAATAAAATATGTAATGTAAATATTAAATCGTTCCCTATTATCACATTTCCAAATTTATCTTGGATTATTATATAAATTGTTATATAAATTAATTGTTCGAATTATCTAAACTAATTTTTTCGATTGTAATATAAATTTTCATTGTAAACGTATTTGTAATTGTCACTGACGTTTCGCGTCATACGAGGAAATAATACGAGCAGAAATAAATTTATTCAACCGTTACTTGTCATTATATTCTCTGTATTTATCTTGTCCAGACTTATTACTTCGCATTACAGAATACGCACCGTTGATAGGTTCACACCTACTACAGTTTATTTGAGCCACGTGATCTAATTAATTACGGCATCGACCACCGCACCGGTGGCCAACACTGCGATCGACGCATTAATCATTTAACACCTCGCCCGTGTTCTCTGCATGGGATCCAGTTTCCCCGTTCCTTTCTGCGTTTCGTCTGTTTTTATTCCATTTCAATATTTATTCTTCAATAAATAAAAATGTTGAACGTTTGAACAACCATTTCAAAATAAATTTCGTTAAATACATTATTTATAAGATTTTATAAGATTATTATTTTTAATAGTATTATTAAGCTTCACAGTTCGAGGAATTCTAATTGGAACCTCGCTTTCCTAACAATAATATTAATTGGAAATTATGATCAAGAAGAAACTGGTAACTTTTGGTTGGAATTTGATAGAAGAAACTGTTAAATGCTAATTCATCCTTTCTAACTCCTTTCTTACTCGCTGCCTGCACTGACAGTGGCGAACGACCGCATGTCCCACTGATATTTTAAGACAGTTCATTCATTATCATTATTATCTCTGATTAATGGGCTATAAAACGGTTTGACATTCTATAATGTTACACGACAGACAACAGAGACGCTAGTTTCAGAATCACTACTGTATCTCAATTACAAAAATCAATTTTTAACTATTACTTCTATGTTCCAATACAAAATGGAAAAGCCGTATAATATTATACATTGCAATATCTTATTACAATACAAATATAAGTAGACTATACCATTTGAAAGCCATTACTCTAAAACTACCAATTATCTTTAAGGTTATACTTACAGGAATAAACAAACCAGAACATACCGAAAACGGCAGAAAATAAATCGAACCTCGATTATCCTGAACAAAGTTGCTTCTACGAGTAATTACCCACGAAATACTCTTAACGAATCAACTTCCATGGCCTTAATTCAACCACCAACTCGTCTTCTCTTGAAAATACCACTTGTCCATTACATCTTATTCATACCGGGTGTTCTAATCGTCCTCGCCGATCCGCTGAAACCTGTTCGTACCAGCAACTCCACGGGAACATTAAAGTTACTCGTACATTACAGTTTCCATCGTGGATGGGAACACACACCCGCGCAACTGGAAGCGTGTTGCATGATTAAAACAACGACTCGTCCTCGGTATTCTATTCTCGATCCTTTCGCGGGCGAAAGTTGCGCTCGAGGAGGCACGCGTCTCGGTTGTCCTGTTCCCGCGCCTTTTCGGGGACGAGTATATTTCTGGGAACCCAGTCATTCGTCGAGTGGGTGCAGCCCTTCCACGCGAAACAGCGAGTCGCCATTTTCGATTGAATTTTGCCCGGTTGTATTGGTTCGACGGGATCTATCGTGTGTTCCATTTGTTTTCGACGAAAGACATATACTAGAGAATAGTATTATGCTATAATTATACTGAGTATGGTACTATACATATATATTACACCATAATTATACTTAGTATTGTACTGTACATATATATTATACTATAATTATTCTTAGTATTATACTATAAATGTTACGTTGAATCGTTCCCTATTATCACATTTCCAAATTTACCTTGGATTATTAAATTAATTTTTGGAATTGATATATAAGTTCCACGGTTATATTAAAAGCGGAGATAAAAATATACTTTTCATTTGTTTTCTTGAAAATGTCTTAAATTGTTAGATTTTTTCACATTAAAATGTACCTTGATTCGAAGAAAAATCGCAAAAACAAAATTTGTTAAGAAATGGATATATTAAGCTTGTAAAGTGGAATACTTTGTAATGTTTATTTCATTTTACAGTTATAGAGAAATTTTGAAAAGCAGTGTACTAGTGTACCATTTTTCTCTGTGTTTTGTTTCGTGGAGTTAATGAGTGGCCAATAAGATAACCAGCGAGTCTCGTGACTATGAATTTAACATGGATCAAAACAGGAAACTGTCTTTTAAAGTTTCTTTGCGTTCCTTGCGAATTGTTGACTACAAAAAGTTACACGAATGTGGTAACAAAAGAAAATAATATACCCATTCCTTACCAAATTTAGCTGTTGCAATTTTTCTTTGGATGAAGTAACATTTTAATATAAAGAAACTAACAATCCAAGAAAGCAAATAATAAGTGTATCTTTTATCTTTGTTTTTAATGTAACCGTGGAATTTATATAACGATTCAAAAAATTAATTTATATAATAATCCAGAATAAATTTGGAAATATAATAATAGGGAACGATTCAACGTAACGTGTGCAGTATAATACCAAGATTATATTACATAGTAATAAGAGGTTCCCAAATGGGGATCACGAAAGGGAATGGGTTCAGGTGTAAAATGATTAAATTACCTTGGTAGGAATTACCTAATGGTAGCTGCGATAGCTATGTATACAGTGTCTGAGTTGGATTGGAACGGTATAAACTGTTTCATTTTTCACGGTAGAGAGTAGAATAATTGACGAAAATATTATTAATATGAATATTCAAAACGATTAATTTCTGACGATACGAAATAATATAAGTATCTACGTACAGCGTGTTTCAGTTAATTTTTCTTGTGATTTGCACGTGAAAATAATTACAGGTTCATTATTTTTAACATTACAGTATTTTATAAAATTACTTAATTTATCTTTATCTTACATAAAATATTACAAGGGAAAATTAATATTAATGTATTAAAACAATTAATATTAATGTATCCATTAATAGAATCCGCTAATGTTCATAAAAAATTGTAATTGTTTATATTGTGTATATCTCAAATAACACTCTAAAGGAATATTCACACAAACTTATAACGTCCTTCAAACAACGATAAAATTACATGATAAACAAATCTTTATCATACTTTCTTGAAACACCCTGTACATATCAATTTAACCTTCTTTCTTCTGTACCCCCACGTTCCCGTATACTCACAATTTCAATCTATTTCCCCCGACACTAACATTTTCTGAACACATAAAATATAATAATCCACCGGCCATTATGTATGAGTCACCTTCTACGCAGATTTTAATAAACAACACTTTCTATCCGGAAGAAGAATCTTTGTTTCTCTGATTAGAAATTATCCTGCTGAAGGAATTAATCAGACGCAGCATTTCCCTCATTAATTGTCACAGATACGGGTCCGTAATATGACAATTATCCGGGCAAGTGATTTTTTCTCACGAATCATCGTCATGTATCAAACAGCTGTTCATTAGACCGCATGCAGTGTTATAAGGAACACGCGGCCCGTTCAAGAAGCAGTCGTATCGACTTCCTGTTCTCAGCCGATCGCACACCGCGCCGGAGGAAAGCGTTTTCTAACACGCAGCTAGCGATCTATCGTTTGCATGCGCGGCCGCCTTTCACTATCGCTCGAAATCTTCGCGTCAGGCTAATTATTTATTTCGCTCACCGTGGAAATCCGGAATCGCACACCGATACACGACGATCACCGTTGCTGACACTGTGGAATTTCTAGGATCGTGTACACATACAGGGTGACGCGAAAATAGTGCAGCACGTGGCAACACTTTCGCCACTCTGTACAAGCTGAATCAATTAAAATGAACATTGCGAGGATATTATTAAAAATTCGTAAAATGCAAGTCATCTTCAGTGAAAAATGAAATTTTTATATAGAATATTAATAGATTTTTATATAATAATATAATGAATAATTATTCTATAACAACAAGTTAGAATACTCCCAAATAATTTCTGAGGCAGTTCAGATAATTAATAAACTGGTCCATACTGTAATAAATATTACAATAAAATAAAATTCTGAAATGCTTAAACTAACTTTATGCCTACCCTGTATATGTTTATACCACTTGTATTCATTTTTAAATCTGTGAATGAATTATATTAATAAAAGATTCATTGTTTCATTGTTTCAACTTATCAATATTTTTCAAAGTAATTTATAGAAATGTTGAAAACACAAAACAACGTAGTGACAAATGTAAAATTAATAACATTGACAGATTGTTGGCGACCGGCTGCCTAATAGCCGTGGTCAGATCCGAGGAGGAATACGACTATGAAGAGGAACCAGCGGCATCACCGGTTACTCCTTCGGCGCCGGCTAGGCCGACTTCCGGTCGCCTAGGAGGGCTGCTGTCTTCGAGAGGGCGAGTCAGCGTGGGAAGAAAAGGAGCGGCCTCAGTATGTTAATTACTCTACAATCAATACCGAGTTGCTATTAACTGGCACATAGATTAAATAGTATCTTGGATCAAAGAGTTAACAGGAAAACTAGAAATAATTTATAATAGGGAATTATTGAATTTTTAATAGGAAAGGTATTAAAGCAGTAAGTAAAATCCTGAATATCTTATCTCAATGACTTTTCACCATAAAAATGCGAGCCTGCAGTCTGCACGCAATACTGCATACTTATGCAAATTTCAGTGGCAAAGGATAGATAAATGGAAACCGAGATTTGTAAACTAAACAAATATTTTTCCTTCTTAATACCATTGCTACCAGTGTCTGAGAACTTTATTTAACACTCTTATTGTACTGGTTTGTATTTGATATTATTAAATTAAGAATAATAATGTAGTATTCTGTTATTTAATCCCTTATGAATTAATTAGAATTATGCTGATCGTAACCGTACAATTTTCTAATATTCTTCACAGACACAAGCTACCACAGCGAAACCAGTAGAACAACCAGCGGAAGCGGAAGAGGAGATAGACGAGGAACTGGAAGAGAATTCAGAGCAACAGGAGGAAGTTCCCACCACCACCACGGAATCGTCGAAGATAGTTCGAGGTGGAGTTCGACCCTTCAGGTGATTTAACTTTAATTCCTTCAATTCCCAGGAAATCTTCTTTAAAACTGATCTCTTTAATTACTCTACAGATCGAATCAGGATCTATTGGCGGCGTTGAAGAGAAGAAGGGCTCAAGTGCCCAGCCATCGAGATACGTCTGCCAGTGGGGCGGCTGGAGAACCGACCACGCCAAAATCTAACAATAAGTAATTATCATCGTAATCTTATCTACCCACTGCAATCTGAATTTAAAAATGTTAAAATTCGAATTTTTTGAGGAAAGGATGATGTTGGTGTATAAGTTATCCTTGATTTCATTCGTTGAAAACATTTGTTCGTTAAACTCATATTTCTACATCAATTTTCGTAAACTGCTTAAATGAAAATATGTTATTGTATTCTCTGTTAAATACTCTGAAAATCATTTTTCTGTTAATTAAATTATTAATAATTACAGTACATTTTACTAATAAAAAAATTCAGATGTTCAAATATTCAGAAATTAAAAAATGTAAAGATTCGAAAACTCAAAGACTCAAAGACTCAAAGACTCAAAGACTCAAAGACTCAAAGACTCAAAGATTCAAAGATTCAAAGATTCAAAGCCTCAAAGACTCAAAAATTCAAATAATTAAAGAAATGAAAAATGTATCAATTCTTTTCAGAGCAAGCACAAGCAGCCGAGCTAAAAGCACTGCCACGACAGAAACGAAGTCGTCAGGACGCGGAAGGTTCGGCGGAACCAGAGGAAAGCCTATACAGGAAGAAGTGGAGGAGACTCAACGGGAGGAGGTGCAAGTAAAACCGAAGCCTTATCGCAGGGGATAAGAAAATCCCCGTCAACCGGGGGATCCCGTGATTCCTCGTTCCAGCTTCTGTAAACCACGCGGAATAAAGAAAACCGACGGGGTGACCTAACCTCAACGCGACCACGCATCAATTTCCTCGCCGAGGGTTCATCGCAAAACTCCTTCGAGACGGTCGCCAGTGTCACTTTCTGTCAACTAAATGTATCTGTGTATACAGGGTGTCCCGCAATTACCGGTACAACCCAGAGGAGAATAAAGAAAACGTTTCCAAGCTCCAAAACAGAAAAAAAACGGAAAATAAATCGAAAAAGAAATGAAAAAATACTAATAATTTAAGAAATAAAAATTCTTCCTTTTTGTATATTTAATTGTTAATAAAAAGAAGTTACTACTACGAGATCTCGTCTGCTTCTCGATTGTACCGTTCGTTGCGGGACATCCTGTATATAGAAGAAAAGGCTGCCTTGCAGAACGCGCCCCCGAGCCACTTAACTTGTATAAATGTAAATTAAATACGACAAATAAAAAAAAACGATGTCTGCGAGAAGA